TTTCTCTCCTTATTTTCTCGTTTGTGTTCTATTAGCTGATGTGTAAACTGGGCGCACACACGCGCACTCTCCCTCTCTCTCTCTCTCTCCTCTCTGTCACTGCTGCGTGGCAAATGTCTTCAACCCAAGGCGCAAGAGTTTCCCGTGTGGCCATCTTTACCCTGATATCGAGTTTCTCACCGTGGGTACCTTGTTCTTTTTTACAGTTGTTAAGGTTTGTATCTGTTCGGGGATCTTTGTTTGTGGGTTATGTTTCTTAGTTCCTGTCTTTTTCCATTGATTTCCTAAACCACATAAGTTTAGTTTCTTCTGATCTGAAAATTGTGAGCAAAGATTTGTTAATTGTTATATGAATATGAAGTTTGTGAGATCCAACTCTAACCAATCAATAATTTAGAAATAATATTATGTCTAAATTAACTTTATAATTTATATCATACATGGATAATATTCTATTTAGCAATTTGGCAATGAGTACAAGGGAAGAAGCATAAAATTCCCAATAAGCAAGAATAAAGTAGGAATAAAGAATTAAATAAAAATATTTATTTTTATTATCGTTAGCTTTTTTTTTAAGTGAAGTTTATTATTTATAAAAGCAAAAACGTGGCTACTAAAATTTGTTAAACGAATCATGTATAAAAAATTAAATCAATTTTAATTTATAATAATCATATTTCACATGAATTTGTGATCAAAAGTTCAGAGTTCAATAACCATTGGATCCAATTTTAAGAATAAAAAATATTTGAATTTAAAATCATTTATAAGATTAAAAAATTATTTGAACCGAGTAATAAAATTTTTAAAAATATAAATAATTATAAATAAAATTTTTTTGTCAATGGATGATATTCGTTTTATATTTTTCAATGCAAACATCTAATTATAAACTATTTTACCAAAAAATGAAAAAGCTTTCGATTTAAAATTATTTATAAAATAATAAAACCGATTAAAATGAGTAATAAAGCTTTCGATAGCATGAGTAACTATAAATGGATTTTTTTTATCAATGGATAACATCCGCTTCACATTTTCTCATGCAAACATCCAATTATATAGGTTTGAATCAAAAGCAATAAAGATTTCGATTTAAAATCATTTATATGATTATAAAACTATTTAAAATGAGTCACTTAAAAAATTTTAAAAATGTAAATCTTAAAAAAAAAAGAAAAAATGAGATTGTGGGACATAAGCTATTTGTTGATCTGTAATCCAAAATTCAATAGCTGTTCATTAAAAATAACAGTTAAGTAAATCTAATATATATGGATATAACTTTTTAATTGATTATTATTTATATTATGGATATATTTATTATTTATTTAACTAGGGTTTATTCCTTTACCTATTTCATTTATTTTTCAAATTGAAAATTTTGAGAATTTCATTTAAAAGTTGTTGTGTTCTAAAAATTCATGTAGTTAAATTTGAAAAAGCTAAACTCTCTAACCTCAATCTTTAATTATCAATTATTATTGAAAAATTAAAATATATTTTTATTATTATTTATACACTATTGCTGAAATACATGCAATTAAACTCAAATCACTATAGTAATCCTTGATAGGCTCCCATTAGCAACTCCTTAATTGACTCTCACATGTTTTTTTTAAAATCATTTTTTTTAAAATGAAACTAGAAAAGCCACCCTCACAAACACACATGACATAACTATAACAACCATACGTAGCCCATAAGCTATCACAAACATTCCAAAAGCAACACAATCCATTAAAAAATTAAAAAAATTAATTTTAAAATTCAAAACTTTGGTTTCAAAAAAAAAGAAAATCCTAGATTCAAGATTAAGAATAATCTTTTTCAAAAACCTCAAGATACAAAAAATCATCACAAAAAAGATATTAAGAAATGGGTGAGAGTAAGTGACACACCAAACGAGTCCAATTCAAGCAACCAGCGAGTTAACAGTGAGATTGTCGTGTGCGTAGGACGCTCACAAGATTGGGCGCACACAGTGGGTTGAGCGAAGTTGCGAACTAGCAAGCCTGGCACAACAAATTGACGTGCAAGGCTTATGTGCATAGGAAATGCATGCATAAGGGCTTCACGCACAAAGGGTGCACACATTTCGCATGCATAGGAGCCGTGTGTCACAAAGAGTGTCTCTATCCCACATCAAACAAGAACGGAAGGTCTTGGGCTCTTTATAAGCGAGTGCGATGTACACCTCAATAAACGCATTTTCTAGGAGAGAGTAATGATCCCGTGACAAGTGGTATCAGAGCAGATCAAACCTCATCAGACTTACGCCAAGCGCCCAAACAGACCGGGGTAGGCAAGGTGGCTAACTACAATGAGGGCGTTGCTAAAATCGGGTGGGAAAGAGTGTCACAAAGGATGCCTCTATCCCACATCGAACAAGAACGGAAGGTCCTAGGCTCTTTATAAGCGGGTGTGCTGCACACCCCAGTAAGCGCGTTTTCTGGAGAGAGGGTAATGACCCCGTGACAAGTGGTATCAGAGCAGATCGCACTTTATCCGACTCACGCCAAGTGCGTTACCGGATTGGGGTAGGCAAGGTGGTCAACTGCAACAAGAGCGTTGCCCGAAGGGTGGGAAAGAGTGTCACAAAGGGTGCCTCTATCCCACATCAGACAAGAATGGAAGGTCTTGGGTTTCTTATAAACGGGTGTGCTGCACACCCCAGTAAGTGCATTTTCTGGGGAGAGGGTAATGACCCCGTAACACATGCATATGGTCATCGCGTATAAGGAAAGCCAAGCACATAGAGGCATTATTATGAATTAAGGCTTGCTAGTTTTTACATACAGGATTACGTGACACACAATTTTAGGCTAAAGTTCCAAGTCCATGACAATAGGATTGCGCATCAATCAATTGTAACCGCATAACTAATCAAAATTGACGATTTTTGACCCTATATGGGTTGGTTATTTAGTGCCAATTAAGGCATCAATTATGACAACCAATTTTCTCAGTTGATTGGTTCAATCATCAGGGGAATTCTCCTTTCGACATCGATTGAAAACCAAAGTTATTTTTTTTTAATTTTAATATTTGGGGAAAAGAAATTTCACAAATAGCCTTTATTAATTCCCTTCCCCGATCGACTTATTGTAAAGACTAAAAAAGAGAAACCCTAATCTTTAAAATTAAATTATACGATATTTAATTGTTTATTACTTTTTTTTACTAAAAAATAAATCATATGGGCTTAAATACCTATTTAAACAACATTAAATTGTCAAATTAGTCCAATTAAGCCCAAGTCCTCATAACAATTATAAGTCAATTAGGTTACCTGGTTATTTTTCAGCTTGGGCCATTTAAGCCCAAGCAATATAAAACCTATAACCAATCGAAATTAACTAAACTATGATCAGTTTAACTATTTTTCATGTTGCTCAATCAGTTTTGGTTGGTTATTTTAAAGATTTAGTTTAATCGATTTTAATTTTCCTCGCAATCGAAATCGACCGATATTCACCCTTAAGTGAGAGAATGAAATTTTTGAGGTTTTAAAAAGGTCTTTTAGACTTTTTAGGTCTCAAGTTTTTTCAAAGAGGAAAGGAGAGGAATTTGATTCCAATGGGAATCAATGGATGAAAATGAGGAGTAAAGAAAAAGAGAAAGAATGATGGAGTTTCTTGTTGTGACTATGGTAACGACAACAAGAAGTGTGGGGATGGAGTTTTGGATTTTGATCCTTTTTGTGAGAAAATGAAAGGTTTTGGAAGAAAATAAAATTAGTAGAAAGATAAAGGGGAAATAGAGGTTTTTGGCAGTGGTCAATGATGAAACAAGAGAAGATTGAGAAAAGTTAGAGTTTTTAGTGAAAGAAAAAGGGGAATGATGGTGAGAAAGAAATAGAGAGATGAAGATTAGCAAAAATGAGATTTTAGGACTTTTTGTAAGGTATTTATTGGCATCCTTAAGTATGCATTTTGCGTCTAATGGTTATTTTCTCTCTAAAGCTAAGTATACATTTTGGCTTGCTTTCTTAAGCTAGTATTACTAATAGCAAAATTGTCTCCACTCTTTTGGAATATAATGCTGAACTTACTTCGATGGAGGGTACCTCTCTTATTGGCCCTACTTTATATCGTCAATTGGTTGGGATTTTATTCTATCTCATAGTGACTCAACCTAATATTGCTTATATTGTTCATTTAATCAGTCAATTTATGGGTGTTCCCCGATCATCTCATTTTTCAACTATTTTGTACATTCTACGTTATATTAAAGCACACTCTTTCATGGATTTCACCTTTCTACACTCTCTACTCTAATTTTATTAAGGTATTCTAATGCTGGCTAAGTAGGTGATCTTACATATCATCAGTCAACTACGATTTATTATTTCTTTTAAGGTGTTTTCCTCATTTCTTGGCGAAATAATAAACAAACTATAATAGCTCGTTCTAGCATTGTATCTGAATATCATGCTCTTGTAGATGTGCCTTCAAAGTTACTTTAGTGTTGTCCATAATTAGCGGATATGTGCATTGTCCAAATTACTATCACTGTCATCACCACAAAGCTATCTAGATTGCTCATAATGATGAGTTTTATAAGCACACCAAGTTTGTTGAAATTGATTGTCCTTTTGTGCATCATCATGTAACTCAAGAGACTCTTCATCTTGCTCTATAATTTCTTTAAACTAATCTACTGATATCTTTACCAAAACTCATTTTACTAGTCAATTTCAATAGTTAGATTCCAAACTCAAGTTGACGTGTATATGATCACGTTGAGTTTATGGGGTGTTAAGATAATTATACAAATTATTTAATTAAAATTATAATATAATATTATTATCTGGTTAGACTGCAATATCTAATTAGAGTTAGACTATGAATATGAGTAACCTTGTGTGTATGTCCTCATTCACTTCTATAACATATATATAATTTCATAATACAATTTTTTTTTTCTTGTAATATAGCAACAGACAAATAACAAAAGAAACAACTTAAAGAGTCTTTGTTTG